TAAATGTGGAATAAATTGACTTTAAGTGAAATATTATAGTGTATGTGGAATGAATGAACTATAAGTGGAATAAATAGACGGAAAGACTCTATCTATAAAGGTGAGATATGCTATAGGTGTAAAAGAAGGACTAAATGCATATGTGGAATATCCTTGAGGAGCTAAGAAAAAGTTTAGAAAAATTGGAAAATCCTCGAGAGAAAGTTCGTAAAAAAGACAGTTATACGTAAAAATATATTTCCTAATGAACTTATAAGAATATATCGAATATATCATGGGTTGTATCACAAAATAAGATATGGGAGTTTAATATTATAAGTATTATAATAATATGATTAACATTCTTATAAGAATATATCGAATATATCATGGGTTGTATCACAAAATAAGATAAGGGAGTTTAATTTTCTCTGCATATAGGGAATAAAAGATTTTCTGTATTTCTCCGTTCTAGCATAGTTGACAGCGATCATTTTAATAGATTTTATTTTACCAAAATATAAATAGCCTTTCTTAATCTAAAATATTTATCTATTTGTAGAATATCTTTCAAAAAAATATTCGTATTCCTAGTTTGGAAAAAGTAAATATCCTGTAAAACATATTTGGGTTGATTTAGAAAATTGTTTAACTCTGAAACTGAGCATACGTAACTTTTGATAAGATCATAAGGGACCTTAAAATTTGATAAATATTTAAGAATGATTTTTAAAATAAATATTATTAAGGATAAGTTGCCAGAAAATTTTAAAAAAAGTTTCCCCTAAAGTAAACTGTTCTTAAAAAATATTCCTTAACGATATCAAGTAGAACCCGTATATGAGATTGATTATTTGATTAAAATCCCCCACCTCCCCCCCCCCNGGGGGGGGGGGCGTATGCTTTTCATTTACTTCTCACAGCATAAACTTATTCGATTACTCTCTCAGCTTTATTCTGAAAAAAATGAAAATCCGAAAATCCGGACAAAAAAGTATAAAAGCTAAAATAAGAAAAATGGAGGGTAAAATTTCTCTTACTCAGCAATTTTGGGCTTACCCTAACGGATTTTACAATGGGGGAGGGGGAGAGGAGATGATAAAAGAAGGGGCAAAATAAAATATGAATTTAGACAACTAATAAAACGGACAGTAACGTCCTGAAACTGACCGGCCTTCAAGATGAATCAAAATATTTCCCAGCATAAAGAAATTCTATTATTTTACCCCCTGCCGTATACCTCCCATTGAGCTTTTTAGGGGGGAGGGGGGAGGGAGGGGGAGGGTCAATGATTCTTTTGAATTACTTTAAATCCATAATTCTTATTTATTCTTGACGTAACTTAGAATTATATAATGTATTCTTCCAATAATTCATTAGTATACATAAACACAAATATATACATATTTATAAATATACTTGTGTATACCTCTTCAAAAGAAAATGAACACGCAATAAGGTTAGTCTTTAAATGAATAAATAATAAACATGGATATATCGAAATATTTGGGAAAACGAGGTTTTTGTAACATTTAAAAAAAATGCTGTAAGACAATAGATAATGAACGGACAGAATGGATTTTAAATTCAGTACTAAAAAATTATGTTTTAGAGTGAGGTTTTTTTAATGAGGGAGGGGGCAGGTGGGGCGTTACAGGGGGAAATAAAGTTAAGGTTAGTGAATAAGTAGAGAAGGCGGG